CCTTAGCTTTGGCTTTTAAATTTAGACAGTTTGGTGGTTGACTCTTTGAGAAGTTCCAAGCATATCAAAAAGTTCCCTTTATTCGAAGACACATTGAAATCAAGCTCCAGTTCTGCCCGGAATGCTGTCAAAGTCCTTTACCAGCCATGCATCAGAAGTAGGAATGAAAAGTAAGTTGTACTCTTGTTTTTGTTTTGGGGGACATGGGTGGGTACCGGGAATTGAGCTAGCTCAGGCCCTCACTCTAGCCAGGCAGGTGCTGCGCCCCGAGCTCATCCCCAGCCCCTCGTGTTTTCTTATCACACACTGTATGTTAGCTGCTGCTGCCCTGCTGCCATGGATAATACATTAATGCATTAAGTGGGACTGTGCCGCTGCCCTGCTTGAAGTTTCCAGGGGCCCTACCGCCCAATGTGATTTTAAAGCACACTGAATTATTACGCATGACTAGCATGGGGACAGTGTGCTTTGACTTTAAAAGTAATTGGTCTTTGTGTGTAATCTCAGCTGTCAAGAGGTGTGGCGCAGAACTAAATCAGACTAACAACTACAAGTTCTGGTGATGAGCACTTCCCCGGCACTGAGGATAACAGTAGAGGACAATCATAGCTCTGCGGTTATCATCTGAACAGGGGAAACAGACAGTCAATGAAAGCAACCAAAGCAATTAAAAATTTATGTTGCTCTGCTCTACATGTCCTGTATTCATCTAGCTCATCCGAGCTTCTCGCTTACTTAAGGCTAACAACAACCCAATGGGCAAGGTACTGTTGTCACCCTGTTTTAAAGTAAGGACACTGAGCTCCGGGTGGTGGATTACTGTGGTGAAAATGAAGAGAGGAAAGGTAATGGGGTAGTCAAGGGGTGGGTGAACGAGGTTGTCATTTTAGGTTGGGAAGTCAGAGATGGTTCCTCAGAGAAGCTGCCATTTAAGTAGAAATCCTGGGAGCCCTGTCTAATACTTACAAACATATATAAGCTAAATATGAAAGTTCTTTATCATGTCCATCTCTGTCAGTACAAATTGTGCTGAATATTCCTCCATTCCTTTTTCTATTCTTTTAACATCTTAATTCGAATAATTCACATGTCATTTACACTTAAAAAATAAAATGCTTTGTCTTGGTGATTTTTTCCACATCAGTGCTTGACAGTTTATGACATGGATAGATTGTAATAATTCAACTATTTTTTGATTGGTGGAACATGGGTTATTGCTTTTTGCTTTATAATTCATGCTGAACTAGATACTATTGCATGTGTAAGTTTTTTTCTTTTTTTTTTTTTTTTGGGGGGGGGGACTGGGGATTGAACTCAGGCCCTTGCGCTTGCCAGGGAAGCGCTTATTCTACTGAGCCATCTCCCCGGCCCTGAGCCATCTGCCAGCCCAAGTTTTCCTTTTAACAAGAGGGATTTCTACAACTATGGAATCAAAAGATACACACATTTAATTTTTTTTTTTTTTTTTGTATTTTAGGGAAAGGTCTACTGGGTGTTCAGGGTCTTACTACTAGATTTGACTCATAATGATCCACCTGTTCACAGCCTCCCAAGAGCTGGGATTACAGGCATGTGCCACCATGCCCAGTCTAAAATTTTAGTAAATCTCAAATGTTTTCTATCAGGGCGTCACAGATTTGTACTCTGACCAGAAGTTTCCTTACATGCCTCTTTCTCTGTACTCTCTCTCAGACTACCAAACACATTTTTGCTTATCTGATGCTAAACTAATAAAAAGAACAAAACAGGTTTAATCCACCCTCCTTATATTTTAGGAAGGGATGATCAGAGAATATGGTCTGTCTGTTTTGGAGGAAGGATCTCTATAGAGTTCAGCATAGTTTTGAACTCACTATGTAGTGCAGGCTGGTTTCAAACTCACAGCAGTCTTCCTGCCTCAGCCTCCTGAGTGCTGGAATTACAGATGTGCACTGCCACGCCCAGCTAGGATGTGTTTATGTATTTTATGTTTTTGAGATTTTGGGGGGAAGTAAGTCAGCTTTTGAGCTGTTTATTGATTTTGTTATGTTGGAGTTGTGTGTTCATGCTCCTTTATATATTTTGATTCATACAGGCAAGCTTATTAAAATCTTTTATGCTCATCTTTTCTACCTATTTGAAATTTAGAGGTTTGAGAAGGTCTAATCACACAATAATTATGAAAGTCATTTTCTTTTTTTATATATGTATTTAGTGCAGGGTCTGCAGTCTCACTACACAGATCAGACTTGTAGTGATCCTTTCTGTTTTCAGCCTCCCAAGTGCTGGGATTACAGGCACGTACCACCACGTCCAGTCTCAATCACCCTCTCAGGGAACCCCAGGGGTGAGGCGGGACTGGCAGGCCGGGAATGGAACCCCTGGCCCCTGCATCTGCCTAAGTAGGTGCTTTAATCTGTTGAGTTATCTGGCCGGCC